GAGAGAGAGCAGAGAGTAGATGAAGAGAGAAGTGTGTGATGAGAGAGAGAGGAGAGAGAGAGAGAGAGAGAGAGAGAGAGAGAGAGGAGAGAGAAGAGAGAGAGAAAGTGTGTGTGGATTGAAAGAGAGAGAGTGTGGTGTGTGTATGAGAGAGAGAGTAAGTGCGTGTGAAGAGAGAGAGAGTAAGTGTGTGTGTGTGTGTGAGAGAGAGAGAGTAAAGAAAGAGAGAGAGAGAGAGAGAGATAGGTAGTGCCAGTAACATAAAGTAATTTTGTTGGAGGTCTGTGCAAAGCAAAGTTCCGCGCACCAAACCCAGAGTATGAGTAGATTATAAAACGATCCGTTGCCAAATACCTCGGCAGCAAAAGCGAAACATTTATCATCTTGAGGCGAAACCATCACTTATCTTCAGTTGAGGTGAATCACGTACTTCTAAAATGGCTTGAAATCCTGAGGCACTTACCGATTGTCTGGTTTTAGATACCGACTTGAACATAATTATATACACCAGTACATGATTAAGGAGAGATCCAGGTGCTTATATACGAATAAAGAATTTTGCACATAGATATGAATTTCTACCTATAATTAAGCAGCAAGGAAGCAACGAGAGGGCGTATAAATAGCCAGACAAATGGGTAAACATTTCCCTTTTTGGATGCGCAGAATGGGTAAATGAACGTGCACATTAACGTCTGAACGCGAATCACCGTCAATCACTGCAAGGAAGGCTATTTTGCAATTGCACGCTTGCAAATTATCAATTGTCTGGCAGTGGAGAGGTATTATAACTGTTGTTAGAGGGAGAGTTTTCGGACTTTTTCTCTGATAGATATATTTTTTTTTGCCTTGCCTTTTTTTGCTCAGGATGTTAAGTGTGGATTTGTGCTTGTTTATTTCAGATATTTTTTGCATGGGGAAATTTTCCTAGCGTCGGTGAAAGTTAAGAGATTCAGGGTTACAAGTGCCATGGCAGACTTTATATTTTCTCTCTCTCTCTCTCTCTCTCTCTTTCTCTTCTCTCTCTTTCCGAGCACTCTCTCTCTTTTCTTTTTTTCTCTCTCTCCGTTTTCCTTTTTTTTTTTTTTTCTCTCCTTCTTCTCCGTTTTCCTCACTCTCTCTCTCTCTTACACACACACACACATTTACACACACACACACACACACAGCACACAGAGGAAGAAGAGAGGAGAGAGAGAGAGAGAGAGAGAGAGGAGGAGAGAGAGAGAGAGAGAGAGAGAGAGAGAGAGAGAGAGAGAGAGAGAGAGAGAGAGAGAGAGAGAGAGAGAGAGAGAGAGAGAGAGAGAGAGAGAGAGAGAGAAAAGTAACGAAAATCTGCATAAAAGGAGGCAAGTTCTTCCGTAAGTTAGGATGGTATTTTTACGACGCAAATCAACAAGCAAGCGGCATGACTTGCAGAAACGCTGATATATTGCGGACATAAATACTCTTAGAAGCCACGAGATTTTATCGTGTATCTATTGTAATGAGTTCAAGTAAAACAAAGGAGAAAAATGAGGGAATGGAGCAGCAGCAGCGGATGGAAAGAGAGGTGGGAAGAGAAGAGAAGAGAGAGAATGCATGATTACATTGTGGGAATATGATACATACATATATATGTACATGTATGTATGTATGTATGAATTTATGTAAATATGTTTATGTATATATATGTGTATATATACATTTATACATTCTTTTTCATACGTCTTTCTCACCACCATTCAATTGAGAGATAGACTTGACTTTTGACATTTTGTTGTTCATAAGTAGTGTCATGTATATATATATATATATAATATATATATATATATATATATATATATATATATATATATATATATATTATATATATATTATTTTTTTTTTTTTTTTTTTTTTTTTTTTTTTTTTTTTTTTTTTTTATCAAATAGGGAGCGACTGCTTATGAAGTTATTTTCAAGATATAGTATATGACAACGGGAGCGAGTTCCAGCAGGGCTTCGGTTTTCTTCGTCTTTCCCATTCTCTTTCATGGATAACTCAACAGGTTTCATATATTTGTCCATAAAGTTATCATACGTTTTCAGAACGGTTTCATAATTACTGTCTTTTTGACCTTGGCTAAATTCTAAGTGTTCAGCATCTGTTGTGAGATCCGTTACCTTATCAACAAACGAATTGTCCTGCAGGAGCTCAACAGGTACCTCTGCGTCGCCGTTTCCTGTTGGCTTCTCTGTTTAAAGGGAAATCACTTGAAATGACATCATTGTGGATCTTCCTGTCTGACGAATCATGAAAGTCAGACATGTCAACTTTATGAATCTTCCTGTCTGACGAATCATGAGAGTCAGACATGTCAACTTTATGAATCTTCCTGTCTGACGAATCATGAAAGTCAGACATGTCATCTTTTGCAGACACGATTTCATGTCCACCTAAATGGCCAGTTGACGGCACTGAACCTGCCCGATCCGCTTCCTCCAGGGAACCGAAAAAAGGGTTAACACTACACTCTTTAAAAATATTCAGTACCTGTGCAATTGCATGCGACGTAATCAACGACTGAGCCCCCCCCCCCCTCCTTGTTGGCAGCAGATACAGGGGTCCAGTCATCCGGATGCGAACGCCCGTCCGTTGACAACAGCTGCACCTGCGTCGCTCAGCTGTGATGCGAAAGGCTTCCCTCTCGCGTTCGTCACCCTGGCGATGGCCTTCCTCTCCCATCGGCGCGGACGCCATCCCGGGCTGTGTCGAGGAAGTTGGCAAGCGGTGCTGCAAGGAGATTAGGTCGAGGTGGCGAGCGGTGCTGCAAGAGATAGGGATCGAGTGGCGAGGGTGCTGCAGAGATTAGGGTCGGAGTGCGGCGGTGCTGCAAGAGATTAGGGGTCCGGAGCGCAGCGAGGCGGTGAAGCAGGGAAAGGGTCGAGTGCGGACTGGGTGCTGCAATAAACTCGAAACATCCGTCTGGATCCCTTCTGTAGAGGGGGGGGGGGGGTTTTTTTTTTTTTTTTTTTTTGTTTTGCCCGAGTGTGATAACAGCTCGAAGTAGGGAATTTGAAATTTTGAAAGATTTATGTTTAAAAAAGAGTCCAGAATCCTTTATCGCGCCTTGGTTTGTTTCATTAATTGATAATAGAATATAAATGCAAAAAAAAAAAAAAAAAAGAAACAAAAAAAAAAAAAAAATAAAACATCAAAATACCATTGAGAAAATAGAAACAAAATTGCAAAACCGCACGACCTCTGTCCATTTTTTTTTTTACAGGCCTTGATTGGTGGAAGGGATGTCCCTATTGTTACACACTGGCGGCGCCGAAGGAATCTATATTCCTGGATATTTATAGGCCTGATCTTTCTGCGATTTTGTTTCCGGGATAACAAAGATATATGGAGTATATGCTCTAGTTTCGAGAGAGAGAAAGACACAACACACTAAAACACAGACACACACAACGACACCACACAACATAAGATGAACTACACAGAGAGAGAGGAGAGAGAGAGAGAGAGAGAGAGAGGAGAGAGAGAGAGAGAGAGAGAGAAGAGAGAGAGAGAGAAGAAGAGAGAGAGAGAGAGGGAGAGAGAGAGAGAGAGAGAGACGAGGAGAGAGGAGGATAGAGAGAGAGATGAGCGACAGAGGAGAGAGAGTAGAGAGAGAGAGAGCGACACAGAACACGACATCGTAAACTACAGACAGGCGTGGTGCAACACACACACACAACACATCTACGACAGAGCGAGCGAACAACACAAACAGACACACAAGGACACAACCAGACAAGACAAACAAAGAACAGACACAAGACAAAGTAGACGATCATAAACATGCGCAGAGACAGAAAAAAAAGAGCAAAAAGAGAGACAATAATAAAAAAAATAAAAAAAAAGTGAAAGAAATAAGAAAAAGAAAAAAATAATAAAAATAAAAAAAGAGCAAGAAAAGCGCAAGACAGAGACCTCCATCTTCTTTCAAGTCAGCTTGGATTAAACGTGATTCCGGCGGGAGATTACAAGCCGAGCTGCGTTCGCCGCGGATCCCAGCCATTCGCAAGAAATTGTAATTGGTACGAGACCCGTCTTGGGACGCGGGAGAAAATCGCGAAGATCGTCGAAATTTTGCGAAGGAAAAGCGAATAAGGGAATAAGCGAAGGGGAAAATTGGCGTTAATGGTGGTGTTATTGAGGAAATGAGGGATTTTATAAGTGGAAAATCGCCAATTAAGTTAGAGCAGAAATTAAATTCAACCCGGAGATAAAGACAACAGAATAGATTAACATATATGAATTGCGACATAAAAAGTGTGTGAAATGTAGGAGAGGAGGCGGGGGGGGGGGGGTGAGACAAAATGCGTTTCCTTCGTCTTTTGTTAATTTTTTTTTTCTCAACTTCTTTTCCGCCTTCTTCAGTCCTAAAAANGGTTTCCGGGATAGAGGGACAAAGATGATATGGAGTAATAGTGCTGCATAGTTTCAAGAGAGAAGAAAGACAGACGAGCACAGGAGGCATTACATGAGCGAGAAGCGAGAGGGAGAGGTGAGGGAAGGGAGAAGGGAGGGAGGGAGGAGGGAGGGAAGGGGCGTAGAGGGCAGGGAGGGAGGGAGGGAGGGAGGGAAGGAAGGAAGTGAGGGAGGGAGGGAGGAGGAGGGAGGAGGGAGGCATGGAGGGAGGGAGGGAGGGAGGGAGGAGGAGAGCAGGAGGGAAGAGAAGAGAGAGAAGAGAGAGAGAGAGAGAGAGAGAGAGCGACACGACACACCCACACACACATCACACACACGACACAAATAAACAGACCAGAGACGATCATAATAACATGCAGACAAAAAAACAGAAAAAGAGAGACAAAAAAATAAAAACACAAAAAAGTGAAAGAAAGAAGAAAAGATAAAAAAAGAGAGACAAAATATGAAGAAAGGACAAAAAAATAACAAAAAATAATAAAAAAAGTGTGCAAGAAAGCGCAAAGACACCTCCATCTTCTTTCAAGTCAGCTTGGATTAAACTGATTTCCGGCGGAGATTACAAGCCGAGCTGCGTTCGAGCCATTGCAAAAATTGTATTGGTAACGAGACCCTCTTGGACGCGGGAGAAAAATCGCGAAGATGCGTCGAAATTTTGCGAAGGAAAAGAGAATAAGGGAATAAGCGAAGGGGAAAATTGGCGTTAATGGTGGTGTTTTGAGGAAATAAGGGGTTTTTATAAGTGGAAAATCACCAATTAAGTGAGAGAAGATATTAAATTAAACTTAAAGATAAAGACAACAGAATAAATTAACATATATGAATTAGCAACATAAAAAGTGTGTGAACGTAGGAGAGGGGGGGGGGGGGGGGGTGAGACAGAAAAGCGTTTCCTTCGACTTTTGTTATTTTTTTTTCTCAACTTCTTTTCCGCCTTCTTCAGCCTAAAAGAGGGGAGTGGGGGAAGAGGGGGCTGGGGGACTAGGAAGGGAGGGGGAGGGGGAATGGGAAGAGTGGGGGAGGAGAGGCGAGTGGGGAAGAGTGAAGAGGGAGGGGGAGGGGAGTGGGGAAGAAGTGGGGGACAGTCGAGAGGGAGGGGAGAAGGGTGGGGAGAGAGTGGGGGGGAAGCGGGAGGCGCGGGAGTGGGGGGACTAGTCGAGAGGGAGGGGGAAGGGGGAATGGGGGAAGGAGTGGGGGATGGGAGAAGGCAAGAGTGGGGAAGATGAAGAAGGAGGGGGAGGGGGAAGTGGGAAGAGTGGGGACGAATCGAGAGGGAGGGAGAGGGGGTGGGGGAAGAGTGGGGGGGAGCGGAGGCGGAGTGGGAGCTAGTCGAGAGGGAGGGGGAGGGGGAATGGCGGAAGAGTGGGGAGGAGAAGCAGAAGTGGGAAGAGTGAAGAGGGAGGGGGAGGGGGGAGTGGGGAGAGTTGGGGGACGAGTTCGAGAGGGAGGGGAGCAGGGGGTGGGGGAGAGTGGGGGGAAGGGGAGGTCGGAATGGGGATAGTGGGGAGGGGGAGAAGAAGTGGGCAAAATGGGAGGCAGAGTGGGGAGGTGGAGTGGAGGAAGAGTCCAAGAAGGGAGAGGGTGGGGGATTGGGGGAAGAGTGGGGGGGAGGAGGAGAGGAGTGGGGGCAGAGGGGTGGGGGGAGGCTGATGAGACCGTCTGCACATTGTCCGCGAGAACAAAACTTCCAGTTGGGGACTGCCGAGTGTTCCCATCACTTGCCTCTGCGAGGGACCTTGGAGGGAAGCGGGGGGGGGGGGGGGGGGAGGGGAGAGGGAGGGAAGGGAAGAGAGGAGGGGAGGGGAGGGGATTGGCAGAGGGATGGGGCAGTGAGGAAGGGGGATAGGTGGGAGAAAAGGGGAGGGAAAGGGGAGGGGAGGGATGAGGATGGGAGGGAGGCAGTGAGGATAGGGGAGAGGGAGGGAAGGGGGAGTGGGGACATGAGGGGACAGGGGGCGGGGTATGGAAAGAGTTAGAGAGGGGGGTAGCGAGTGGTCGAAGAGGGGAGGAAGGGGACGTAGGGGAGGGAAAAGAGGAGGGATAAGGGGAGAAAGAAGGGAAGGGGAAGAGGGGGTTCAATGTGAGAAGGAAGAGGAAGAAGGGGAACAGAGGAGGAAAAAAGAGAGGAGGGGAATAGGTGTCACAGAGAGAGAGAGAGAGAGAGAGAGAGAGAGAGAGAGAGAGAGAAGAGAGAGAGAGAGAGAGAGAGAGAGAGAGAGAGAGAGAGAGAGAGAGAGAGAGAGAGAGAGAGGAGGAAAGGGGAGGAAGGAAGAATTTAACGGTGAGAAGGAGGGAATAGAGAATAAAGGGGAAGAAGATGGAATAAAGGCGGAGAACGAGGGAAGAGGCGAGGGCCGAGGAAGGCGTAAGAGGCGGCAAAGGTCAAAGGTCAGACGGGACGAAGCAGGAGCAGACAGGTGAGCGGACATGCAGGTAAGTAGGTAAGCACTTAAGGCAGCAAAAAGGTAAGTAGGTAAGTAGGCAATGATTTCAGCAGGTAAACAGTCAAGCAGGTACGCGAATAAGAAGGTAAACTGGTAAGTAGGTAAGCAGGTCAACATGCAGGCTGATAGGCAAGGGCACAGGCAAGCAAGGCAACAGGCTAGCAGGCAGAGTAAACAAGCAAGCAGCCGGTAGGCAGGCAGTAACAGGAAAGCAGGTCAGCAGGCGGTAGAGGAGAGACTCCACCTGTTGAGTCTCTTCCGGGCTCTCCTCGTCCTTGTCTCTGCTCTTTCGCTTTTCGCTCTCTCCTCCTCTGCCCTCTCCCTTTCTCCTTTCCTCCTCCCTGTGCTCTTTTTCGCTTCTCACTCTCCCTTCCCCTCTCTCCTTCCCTCATTCTTCATCTTCCTCATCCCACCTCCCTTCCTCCCTCTCCTCCCCTCCTTCTTCCTTCCTCATCCCACTCCTCCCCTCCCTTGAACCTCCCTCCTCCCCTTCTCTTTCCTCCCTCTCCCTCCCTCCCTCCCCCCCTCCCCCCCCTTAAGTGCCTCTCTCCCTGGCACATTTTCCTCTCGCTTCCTCCTCGCCGCCCCTTCGTGGCCGCCGCTCCTTCCACAGGGCCTCCGGGGCTCCAGGGCCAGGCGAGGGGCCGGGTTTTAGGGTTTAGGAGGAGGAGAGAAGGAGGAAATGGGGAGGAGGAAGGGGAGGAAGGGATGGGAGAGGGAGAGAGAGAAGATGGGATGGAGAGGGAAGGGGAGAAGGAGGAAGTTGGGGAGAGGAAGGGGGAAGGGATGGAGAGGAAGGAGAGAAGGAGGATGGGGAGGAAGAGGAAGGGATGGAGAGGGAAGGCGAGAAAGGAGGAAGTTGGGGAGGAGGAAGGGGAGGAGAGGGAAGGAGAGAAGGAGGAGGAGAAAGAAAAGGAGAAAGACAAAGAAAGGAGAAGGAGGAAAGAGGAGAAGAGGAGAAGTAGTTAGGAGAGGAGGAGAAGGAGAAAAGGGGAGGAAAAAAAGGAAAAAGCAATAGCAAAGGAAAAGTAAAAGGAAAAAGGAAGGGAGGAAGGAGAAGCAAAGAAATGAGAAGGAGGAGAAGCAGGAGAGAGAAAAAAAGAAAAAAAAAGGGAAGAATTGGACGAGCAGGAGAAGGAGGACCTCGAACGCAGCGCCCCTTAGCCATAGCGTCTGGTCCCTAACTTGTCGTCCTTCCCGAGCCATAAAGAGAATTTCGCGCTTCACACTTATAAAACAAAATCGCTATGGATGGCGCAACATTAACGGGATCCGCCACGCGACACATTGCGAGAAGAGAGAGAAGAGAGACGAGAGGAGAGAGAGAGAGAGAGAGAGAGAGGAGGGAGGAGAGAGAGAGGAGAGAGAGAGGGAGAAGAGAGAGAGAGAGAGAGAGAGAGAGAGAGAGAGAGAGAGAGAGAGAGAGAGAGAGAGAAGAGAGAGAGAGAGAGAGAGAGAGAGAGAGAGAGAGATGAGAGAGAGAGAGAGAGAGAAGAGAGACCCCCTCCCCTCCCCTCCTTTCCCTCCTTTTCTTACCCCCCAAGCCCATCCCAACGAAAATCTGAAATGGAATGATATGTAGGAGGGAGAGGAAGAGGGGAGGAGGGAGGGAAACGAAGAAGAAGGAGGAAAGTAGGAGAGAAGGAAGAGATGACGCTAAGGAGGGGGTAAAGGAAGAAAAGAAAATAGGGAAGAAAAGAGGAGCGGAGTGAGAGGCAGAGGAAGAAAAAGTTAAAAGAGAGAGGAGGAGAGGAGGTAGAAGGAAGGGAGAGTAATAGGAAGAGAAGGAAAAGAAAGAGGACGAAGGAAACGAAGAAGAGAAGGGATAGAAAGAGAAGAAGTAATAACGGGAGAAAGGAAAAGGAAGAGGAGTAAGAAGAGGGGAGTTGTACAGGAAGAAAGGAAGAGGAGAAGAAGGAAAAAGACAAGAAACGAAGAAAGAAGGAGTAGAAATAAGAAAAAAATGAGTAGGAACAGTAAGAGGAGGAGGAGGAGGAAGAGGAGGAGGAGGAGGAGGCAGGAAGAAGAGTAGGGAAGCGGAGGGAGGAAGAGAGGAGGAAGAAGAGGAGGAAGAAGGGAGGTGGAGGAGAAGAAGAGGCGGAAGAAGAGGAGGAAGAAGAGGCAGTCGAAGCGGAGATGGGAAATCTAATTAAAAACCGAATTTCCTCGCCGGCAATCCGGAGCGAGTCAGCTTAACGGGGTCGGCGGCGATGGCTGACCCGCTGCTGACCGCGTGCAGTGAGTCGGGTCAAGAGAGAAGTATAATTGGATATTACAAGGCGGTTGTGGGTGAGGCAGATGGACGGATGGATGGATAGGACAGAGTGATAGATGGACGGATGGTTGGATAGACAGAGTGATAGATAAATAGACAGAGTGATAGATAAACGGATGGATGGATAGACAGAGTGATAGACGGATGGATGGATAGGAAAAGTGATAGATGGACGGATAGATGGAATATACAGAGTGAGTAGATAGACGGATGGTTGGGATAGAAAAGTGATAGACGGAATGGTGGATAGGAAAAATGATAGACGGATTGGATGGATTAGGACAGAGTGATAGATAAACGGATGGATGATAGACAGAGTGATAGATTAAACGGATGGATGATAGGAAAATGATTAGATGGACGTGGATGGGTGGATAGACAGAGTGCGTAGATAGACGGATGATTGGATAGGGAAAAGTGATTTGCTAGAAGGCATGTTTATAGATTTAGACAGGAGTGATAGATAATTGGTTGGTATGGAGTATACCCAGAGTGATAGCATAAACGGATGGATGGGATATTACAGAGTGATGATAAACGGATGGATGGATAGACAGCATGATTAGATAGCGGTTGGTTGGATTAGGAAAAAGTGATTGCTAGAAGGATGGATGGATAGACAGAGTGATAGATAGACGGATGGAAGGATAGACAGAGTGATAGATAGGCGGATGGATGGATAGGAAAAGTATAGGACGGATGGATGGATAGACAGATGTAGATAGATAGAGCGGATGGGCGGATTGGATAGACAGAGTGATAGATGGACGGATGGATGGATAGGAAAAGTGGATAGATGACGAAGGTTGGATAGAAAAAGTGGATTGCTAAAAGCTGGATA